CTAGAAGCAGCAGGGACAGCACCAGAACCCTCAGCAGGAGCACCCGCTCCAGCAGCACCACCAGTAGCTCCAGAACCTCCAGCAGCACTAGGAGCACCCCCAGTAGGACTGCCAGCGGTAGTCTCAGCGCCAACACCCTCAGCAGCACCAGCTCCAGTGCACCCAGGACGAGCACCTCCGGGACCCGCGACCGCAGCACCCTCAGCAGCCGAAGGACCTCCAGCACCAGCAGCACGTCTCCAGCGCCGGGCAAACCACTCACGCAGCTCCTGTGGAGAAAGTGGCTCCCGGCGAGACGAAGCACTCAGAGAACCTCCAGGCGGAGCACCTCCAGGCTCAGCACCCCCAGGCGTAGCACCCCTAGGCTCAGTACCCCCAGGCTCAGCACCCCTAGGTTCAGCACCCCCAGGCTCAGCACCCCCAGGCTCAGCACCCCCAGGCTCAGCACCCCTAGGCTCAGCACCCCCAGGCTCAGCACCCCTAGGCTCAGCACCCCTAGGCTCAGCACCCCCAGACGTAGCACCCCCAGGCCCAGCACCCCTAGGCTCCGCACCCCCAGGTACAGCACCCCCAGCCTCAGCACCCTCAGCAGCACCAGAGTCACCAGTGACCTCGACAGGCTCGACTGCGTCTACCTGGGACACACCTGAAGGGGCAGGACCCTGAGGGGGGAGGGGGTCTACCTGGGGGGGACCTGGTACCAGGAAGAGTGGGGGTGGGGGGAGGGACGGAGTGCGGTAGGGGAAGAGGCGGTAGTAGGGGACCGACTCGTCAAACGTGACGTCCTGGGAGGACAGAACACGGCGAGAGGTGGGGTGGTAAAACTGCCACCCAGGCGCGTCAGGGGGGAACCCCAGGAAGACGCAAGGAGCAGCACGAGGGGATAGTTTGTCCGCAGACAGGTCGCGGACAAACGCCCGAGATCCCCAGACCCGGAACGCCGACGCATCGCCAACCTTCCCCGTCCACAGCAAGGCTGGGGAGGTCTCCGGCCTGGGGACCCTGGGGTGGAGGTTGATCTGATGCGCCGCGTACCTCACCGCAAACGGCCACAGAAAATGGGGGGCAGCCGCATGCATCATAAACGTACGAGCGACGTCCATGACCATGCCAATGCGGCGCTCAGCAATCCCATTTTGCTGCGGTGAGTCCGGAAGCGTGAAGGTCTGACGGATGCCCCGTGCACGACAGTAGGCACGCAGAAGGCCAGAGGAGAACTCTCCGCCTCTGTCCGAGTGCAGACGCAGAACAGGAAAGTCCGAGCCGAAGCTCTGCCTGAGCTGGAGACGAGCTGCGCGGATCCAGTCGATCAGCACCTCAGTGACATCACCCTTGCTGCGCAAGGGGAAGACTGTGGTGTAACGCGAGTAGTCGTCAACAACGAGCAGGAAGTAGCGCTCGTGACCCTGTCCACGGACGCGGGCTGGGCCCCACACGTCCATGTGAAGTGTCTGCAACGGGGCCTCTGTCGAAGGAAACTGGGAGGAGTGAGGGGCAGCACGCTGGCGCCCCTCGACACAGGGGACACAGGCAGGGCCAGGGCCCTGAGGAAGGGGAGGGAGGGACCGGGGGAGACCGGACACAAGAAGACGGGAGGCCATACCTCTGAGCCGAAGCAGAGAGGGGTGGCCAAGGCGGTGGTGCCAGAGGAGAGTCTCGTGAGACAGGAGACGACACGAACAGGGGGCAGACTCAGGACCAGACCTGGACGCCGCAGCAAACACCTGACCCGACGTAACTACCCTACCAGACTCAGCAACTGGAGGAGACGCAGTGGTCAGAGTGTACAGGCTCGACCCCGGCTGACGGGTGAACGTAGCCAGGTGTCGGCCTGTGCCAGCCTCTGTTTAGTGGGTCACTCGCTGACGTGCAGGAGTGAACTGGTGGACACCCGCATCCTGTAGGTCAGCACCACTCACCAGGTTCGTCGAGAACGAGGGGAGTTAGAGACCAGACAGGGTGCCAGAGGGAGCCGCCGGACACGGGAGGACTGTGGAGAAACGAGACAGGACCGGACCCCCAGAGGGGTCAGCCAGAGACACCGCAACCGGCCGACTAAGCGGCGTGAGTGTGGTGCGGTCCCGAAAGAAGGAGCGAGACGCCCCAGAGTCGAGTGAAGGTGAGGGAGGCCGAAGCCGACGCGGTACCTGAGAGAGCAGACTCACCAGTACCTGAGGACGCAGACACACCAGCACCTAGAGCAGCAGCGTCGTAAGCACCTAGGGCAGCAGCCTCACCAGTACCTAGAGCAGCAGTCTCAATGCCCGGATCGGGCTGGAAACACCGGTAACAGTCACCCTCATCACTAATAGACACAGCATACATGGCAGAGAGAATAGCATCAAAGTCCAGATCAAAGATGGCAACCCCCGCCCTAGACAGCTCGTCCCAGCGAGGGATCTCGGAGGCCTCCGGGAACTGGTGACGCCATGCGTCCGTCAGGCGGCCAAAGCAGCGCGGAGTGGGGTGCGCACCCCCACACTGCTCACCCGCACGGTCGCCGGTGCGCAGGACGTAGGTACACGGACCAAAACCCCCACCCCGCTGGCGTGCAGTGTACCACTCACGGAGCTGCTGAGGGGACAGGGTCGCACGACCACGCTGCTGCTGCTGGCGCGAGCCACCACCGGAGCCACTCCTCTGCAAAGACCCGCGACCAGCTCCACCGCCACCCCCACCGCCTCCACCGACTCCGCTGCCTCCACTGCCGCCGCCGCCTCCACCGCCTCCTCCACCGCCGCCTCCTCCGCCACCTCCGCTACCACCGCCACCGCCGCCGCGGCCTCCGCCTCCACTGCCGCCACCGAACCCCCCACCCCCACCTCCACCTCCACCGCTACCCCCACTCCCCCCACTGCCTCCACCTCCACCTCCACCGCCCGCTCCTCCAGCTCCCTTGCCCCCCTTGCCCTTGCCAGGGCGGCGTCTCCCGCTAGGGGCAGACGCCGCACCGACCGACTCAAGACCAAGGAGGTCGGCCGAAGCAGCAGAGGCAACAGAGGGCAGCAGGGGGGAGGGAGAACACCTTGCTAAGATGCTAACATGAATAAGATAGTGGAAGTGTTTAGTCACCTTGCTATAGTGAATTAAAATGACAGTATATTAAAACTAAGCATTACATTGAGTTTGCATAATCCTAGCTAGCCATGTACTCTGACGGGTACATTCACTTATTAACCGTATTACAGGGACTATTCCATAGATCGCTACAGTTGCAGTGACTATTGCGATCCTTTTACGATTACCGAGATGCAGTGTGTAACCTCCGATGATAGTTGCGACTCCAGTATAGAGTAGTGAGAAGTCGGGACAGTTGACTTTCCGGTTTGCTGTCCTTTTGGTGCTTGCTCTGTGAGGTGACGCGGTAATGATACAGGCGCATTTTCGTAATGAAACGATGCGCTAAGGTGATACATTTGGGAATGTTGTAAAAAAATATTCGGTTTTCAACATTTTTTTTTTATAATGGATATTCAGTTTGGTCGAATATTAAGTGCATAGGAAGAACTTCATATATGATTACCTATGAATACAATTTAATATATTACCTCATATTTACTTATATATGGAATGTTGTTTTCGTAAAACCTTCCGCGTTAACGTCGGTTCTTGTTTATATTGAAGATCCGGATAGGTCGGCTGGAAACATGTGGTGTGCGGAGCGGACACGCACGCAAGACTGCACCCTCTTTCTCAACCTTAGAACCCACGCGTATCTGGCTGTCTTGTATTCAAATTCACTACCTACCACAGTCGGAGCAGACACGCAGTCGAGCTGCAGGCAAGGACTGCATTCAAACCCCATTACCGGCTGACTGCACTGCTGGTATCCTTCCAGCTTGCTGACCTGCTCACTCTCAGGACAAGGGAATATCAATCGGGGGAATATCGATCCGGCCACCGCACTGAAATCCCGCGTTTCGCATACAGAAAATACACAACCGCGTTGAATAACGAACCCGAGGCGATCGATCTTCCACTTTTACCGCGTCCTCAGTTAATTTCAGCTTCTCCTCACCAATTATTCATGACACCATTCCAAATGGTATAATTCATACCAGCAGCACGCTGCGGACAATTATTACCAGCAGCATTAGCAGTTTCAGCGGCCCGCTGCTTCCGAGGGAAACACACAGCAGTTCCCTGTTCCCGGCCGGCCGCCACTTACTAGTCGCGTAAGTAGTGTAGTTAATCGCTAAGGCGGCGCCCATCTCTCACTCTTTCCGAGTGCCTGCCGGCTTCATCCGTCGAGCAGCGCGAGCGGGGAGTATAGCAGTCGCGAACAGCGGCGGCGGGCTTAGCGGCGGCGAGCCCTGTGAAGCGGCAGAATACGGCGCTCCAGCCTCGCTGCCGCCTGCCCGACCGGGGCTGCAGCGGCGGCGGTGAGCCGCCAGCGGATGGCGCATGAGCGCGTGCTGCGCGCGCTGGCGCTCGCATGGTGCCTCGCCGCCCTCGCCACTCGCCTCGCCATCGCCCAGGCTTACACGACAATGGAGGCCTCGCAAGGTGACGCGAGAATCGAGGCCACGGCGTGTACTGAGGCCCAGCCGATTGCAATGGAATACACCACCTTTCGACATGGTGACTTCCTCCCCGCTCTTCCCCCAAACCCCCCCACATACCCCCTTCCCTCTTCCCTTTTCCCGTCCCCTGCTTCCCCCCCCTACCCCCACCACAAAATCTGCAGTGCAATTCCTGCACGACTGCCAAAGGGCATGGAATGCGAATCTCTCTGGCTGGAACGAGATCGTGTACTGCGACAATGCTGAAGGCATCACATGCGACTCGAACGGGATGGTCGCGACACTGTGAGGTCCCGTCACGTCACCTCAACTGCAATGAGGCTATTCTATTCCAAAAGTTCAACAACGCCCATGCCGTAGTATCTGCGCATAGTACTTGAGATGTTTGACAGGACAGGGACTCCCACATCGGTCCGTGCCTAAGTGCCACCTCTAATGCGTTGCTGTTATTTCAAACCTATGGTGGCATGGCTTGACATGTGTGGGCGCAGAGGTTTAACGGGCGTTGGTCTGCAAGGGCCTATTCCAACTTCCATCAGCAACTTGAGAGAGCTTGTTGACCTGTACGTCCTCCTGACCTTGTGAACTGCTGGCGAATGTGTGGACGAAAAGAGAGGAAGGGGGACAAGGGCTGGAAAGGGGAAGGAGGGAGGAGTGGACGAACGTGTGGAGTGCAAGTTGAGGGAGTGGCGAGGTGGCATCAGGAAGGAGGTGTCAGCTGTGGCTGTGAGGTGGGGGTGTGCAGGGAGGTGCATTGGGGTTGGGACTTGGCGACAAGCCAGCAGTTATAGTTGTAATAGCTAGGAAGATGCTGGCACGAGAGGTACAAGTGATAGTGGACGTTTATGTACCATAGGACGCTACTGTAACGGCCCTGCTCCTTCATTCGTTGTTCCTCTTATTCGTCCCATCCTTTGCATCTTCCCATGTAAACCTCCACCCAACCTCCCATTCTTAACCCCCCCTTCCATGTGTTTTCAATATGTGCCCTCTCACCCAATGTACATTCCACATGTCTGCCTTTCGCTTTATCCTACCCCCGTCCATCCCTTGCCATGTCTGCGTACATTCCAGGGCGAATGTTTGTTATCGTCTATGTGCTTGTCCAGCATCTGGGAAGTGCATAGAAGTTTATTTACTTATACTCTATTCCTAATATTTTTGAAACTCTATTCCTGTATCACATGCTCGATTTGTGTACATCATCACAGTGATTTTAATACGAATCAGCTGTATGGCTCAATTCCAACTGAAGTCTTCACTCTCACAAAGCTGACACACCTGTAAGGCCTGCGACCCGATCTGCTGCGCTCTTTAATTAATCTCACACCTTTCCCAATTCAGTTGTTTTGTGTTTTGAAACCCCTTTTATTCAAATCTCTGCATTCATCTCTTATTTTTCTCATCCGTTTGTGCCCCTTTCCTATCATTCCACCTCTCTCCTCCTAACCTTTGTTTGCATTCTCGGTCCTTCCTTTCCTCTATTGCTCCCTTTCTCATCGCCCTGGGAATACCTCTCTTTTCACCTTCCCAAAAACCAGTCCATCCCCTATCACTGATGGCACACCACAAGAACTTCTCGTCACACTGCTATACGACTTTTGACAATGTGAATTGCACACCTAGTTGCTCTTACCACCTATGTATGTATCATGTATGCATGTACCGTTTGTTTCTGTTACCCCTGCCCGAATGTATGCCTCACCTTCATAACAGCAATCTTGGTTCCAATCTTTTTTCAAGCTCAATCCCCAGTGAAGTTGGCATGCTTACAAACCTGATTAGCACGTAAGACCTCTGTTCTGCTGTGCTCCCCTTCCTCTGCCGCACATCTCGAATCTCTGCGCTCGCTTCGATTAGATAACCCGACCCCTCCATTGGTTGGATTGGATGTAAGGCTCTTCTTGTCATCTTTTCTCATATTTTTCAGCACATTCAGCACGGAGTGACTACATTCCTAGTCCCTTCCTTCCTATGATAGAGTCAACGCTCTTACAGGGTAGGTAGTGTAAAGCATTAAAATGCTGTGTTTGACATTGACGCTGGCCCCAAAATTATTCGAGCAACCTGAATCTCGGAAAACAGAATCGAGATCCCCGAAAGCGATTTGAAAAATACCCCGCCCCCCCAAAACTCCCACTTTTCACCGCACATAACCCAACCCAACCCTCACGCCACCAATTCACCTCCCACGCTCATTTCTCACGTTCGTGTTAGCTTTTCATTCATAGTCGACCAGATTCTTACTATGTGGACATGGACGCGTCCAGCGCCCTAAACGCCAGCGTCCAGACGCTAGCGTATATACGCTGGACGCTCCGATGTCTGGGTCTGGACGCTTGGGGCGGGCAGGTGAACAAAAAATTCCGGGCAGGGAGGAAAAACAAATGGGGGGAGAGGGGGAAAAGAAACTCTAGACAGCAAAATACCATACTTTTCCAGGAAAATGTCACATTAAAAAAAAACCGAAATCCAAATAATTGTTGAAGAACACACACACAAATCGAATCCAGAACCACACACTCTCGCCCATTGACTGGTACTCATCCGCAAACATCCTTTCATCTACTGAGGGATTGCATCCGCGACCTCCACGGGAATGGCAGTGCAGATCCGCACCACGCGCCGTCCCTGACCCGGCCATTCAGCAAGGTGACTAGCGCAACGGCTATGGCTGCGGACGAAAGCGTGGTGCAAAACCGACACTCCACTTGCTTTCCCTTGACGCCCGCCTTCGTGAAACTGTGATAGTGCTGAAACGTAGGGTGGGTACTATCAGGATCGTACACACGGTCCGTGCTCAACGAGGTACTAGTTTCCGCCATGGATTCCTGCCGGTGAAGGTAAGTAATGTTGGATGGAACGCAATCGTGAGGAAGGAAATGAGCCTGCCAGTGTTGCTCGATCTAATTAGGAATGTGACGGGGGGGTTGGGTTGGCTAGATTAGAAGGGGTGTGTTGGATCTGGTTCTATTTCGGCGCGTCAGAACCAGATCTAAAATCGCGAATTAAAATTTCGAATTGAAATCGCGAATTCAAATTTTGCCAGCCGATTTTTTTTTCGGTTTGCCTGATATTTTTTTGGCCGAGCGTCCAGCGTCTAGCGTACGGACGCTAGCGCATACACAGTGGACGCTCACTGTCCAGAGCGTATATGTCCACATAGGATTCTTAGCGTTCCCTCCCTCAGAGCTGTTTTCTACCCCCAAAATCTCTGCCGATCCGCGTAGGGTTGAGCAAGAGCCGAACCAGGTTCGGCACTGGTAGAACCATACTGGGCCGGTCATCAACCTGGGCCGAACCAGGTTCAGCCCGCCCTGGGCCGTACGGGCACATTGGCGGCCCGGTTCGCCCCTATATAGGTCGGGTTGAAAAAGTTTCGACCGAACCTTTTTCGGTCTGACCCATGTCAGTTCGAGTCCGTTCCGGGGTATAATTAAGAGTGAGACTGTCTTGAGGATCCGTAACCCTAAAACGAGATCTTTATGTACTACAAAGTTGTTGATGGGAATTGGGTTGTTGGCCCCGAAGGCACGCGAACGACGTCGAGGCCGCGACGGCGAAGGCGGTATCCCGAAGTCGATGTGGTTTGTCAGGCGCGGACAACAGCCGACAGATGTATGGCGGTGCTTGTCGGGCCAATTGTCTGCGCGCACCTGCGAGCGTGCGCACTGCTGTCATCTACGGGTGCAACACTGGACAGCCGCTTTGCTACAGTGTTGACACGCTGTCGACCTGCTCTGTTGGCAGGCCGCGATTCTGCACCGCTAACGCGGCTCCTCTACGCAACGCTGGTAGGCGGTCGACCACGCTGTGCTGGCGGTCGACTAGCCTGGCTTCTAGGTTGCTAGGTTCCTGATGTGGTCATTCTTGCCATTGTTTTATCAACAATTCTGCAATGCAACTTTCTAGTGATACTCTTGCTGTTTTGCCCTGTGAGCACACAAGTCCTAGAGAACGCTAAGGATGCTTCGATCACTCCTAGAGCTCGTGCCAACCGCCCGTAGTCTAGCTCCCGAGCGTTGTAGAGTGAATGTCCGCATGGTGCGGTGAGCGTGGATAGCCCCGTAGATTACCTCCAGATAGGAGCTGAATATTGCACCTACCCTGGCAGCGGCAGGTGCGGTAGAGGACAGCTTGGAGGCACGATTGGCTGATGCAACGAGATGCCATGGAGAAGGCGAGTTCGGGTCGGTGTTCCCCTTGAAGGTGGTCCTCCTAGGGATCCGCGCGAAGTGGGCGACGGAACACCCTTCCCAACCTACATCTCCTCGACCGATGCGAAACGAAGAGGTCGTCGACGAGGAGGTCGACGATGGTGCACAAGTCAGCGCCAGCGGCACAAAGAAGAGAGGTGTGATCAAGATCAACGGTAGCGTCGACGAGAGCCAGGCGCGACTGCAGCGATCGACGGCGGTCGCTGGCAGCTCGCGTGTCGACGTCGACGAACGATGTCGCCCACCCCAGCAAAGCAGTGGGAGGCCCACGTCGACGACGCACGTGACGGCGGGCAGGATCGCGCCGGCGTATGTGTACTTCAAGTTTTCGCCGGACAAAATCTCTGTCACGCTGCTGCAAGGTCGAAGGGACCTCATCACATGGAGGGAGGCTATTGAGCCTCAACTGGAGATCGCAGGGCTAATGGGGTTCGCCGACGGCACCGTGCCGATGCCGGAGGCGGACAATGTCGAGCTGCTGGCGGAATTTCTGTCGCACACTTGTTGACCTTCATGGTCATCTCGAGGTGCTGCTCCCCTGTGGTGCAGATAGCATTGAAGTCGTGTCGACAACGTCAGGACGCTGGTCACCAAGCGTGGCGGTTCATCTTGTCGACCTACCAGGCGACGGACGATCTGTACATCGGTCAGTTGGAGGAGCAGATGATACATCTCAGGATGGGCGAGCAGGAGTCGGCGATTGACTACTACAATCGTGCTCGACGGATCTTGGCCGAAATGCGGATGGCAGGCGTCGACTACTCGACGGCGTCCTACATCACGAGCAGCTACAATCTCATGTGCCGGCTGATAGTGGTTCCCGGTACGTGTGAGCCGCTGGACGAGGACTCTCTCACTAGCTACATCATCTGAGATGAGGCGATGCAGGAGGCATAGCGTCCCACGGAGCTCCTTTCACAGGCGAGCTACGCCGCCCCGACGAAGCAGAGTCGACAGCAGGGGCAGCGTGGGAAGCAGGGCGGAGGTGGTAGCGGAGGTAGGAGGTCGACGAAGGACGTCGACCAGGCGAAGTCAACACAGGACAAGAGCCGTGGAGGTGGTGGTTGACGGTGGGACTGCTGGCTGTGCGGCGACCCCGACCACCTCTTCTTTGACTGTCCCGACCGAGACGACAACGACGAGGACGACAACAAGGGAGGTGGCGGACGATCGGCCAGTCGTCGCCCCCGTCGAGACGAGAAGCCGCGCAAGGAAAAGCAGGCGTCGAAGAAGACATCATCGACAAAGGAAGCCGACAACTCCAGCGGCAAAGGCCGAGGTGACGGGGAGGCGTCGTGCTCGATGGTCGGCGTGGGGGAGCCGACAGTCTCGCTGGCGCCTGAGGCCGGCGAGGACTTGAAGGCGGTCGCGGCCGCTGTGCAGGTGAACCCGATGGTGGTGCTGCTCGACAGCGGTTGCTCGCATCACCTAGTGGGGATGAAGGAGGTCTTCGCTATGTTGCACTATACGCGCACGGTTCGCAAGGGTGGAGCTGTGGTGATGGAGGCCAAGTTAGACAAGAGTCTATACCTTGTTCCAGTTTGTGTGCCTCAGGTGGAGAGGGCACATGGGGTTGAAGCCGAGGATGCCGCTTGCAGCATCCGTTGGAGGGACGTGGAGCAGGTGACGGCAGATTTGCTGCACCTACGCATGGGGCATGCGGGAAGGCAGCAACTTGTGGAGTCTGTGAAGAAGGGGGAGCTGAAGGGTGTGGAGATCAAGGAGGGTGGTGGGCAGCCAAGCAAGTGCCCTGATTGCACCACCGGGAAGCTGCCAAGGACCTCCTTCCCTACCTCCACCACTAGAGCCTCCGCACCTCTTGAGTTGGTGCACACGGATGTGTGTGGCCCCATGCAAACACCGGATAGGGAGAAGGGCAGCAAATACTTCATCACCTTCTTGGATGACTTCAGCCGCCTAAGTTGGGTTACCTCGGTGAAAACCAAGGATGAGGTGGCCAGGGTCTTCAAGCGTTGGATACGCTATGCGGAGAGGGAAGCCGGGGCCAAGGTGAAAATACTTAGGTCTGATCGGAGTGGGGAGTACACGGGGAAGGATCTGGAGTCTTTCCTTGAAGACAAAGGCATCACCCACCAGCTTTCAGTTGCCTACATGCCGCAGCAAAATGGGGCAGCGGAGAGGCTAAATCGGACCCTCGTTGACCTTGCCCAAGCCATGCTTGCTCATGCGCAGCTGGACCATACTTGGTGGGGGCAGCAGTGCAATATGCCAACTGGGTTAAGAACCGGATGGGCAGCAAGGGGCTAGAGGGCAAGAGCCCATACTTCATGTGGACCAGGATGGTGCCTAGTGTGTCCATGGCACGAGTGTGGGGGTGCATGGCGCAGTACAAAGTGCCGACCAGCAACGGAGGAAGCTGGATCCTAA